ATGGCATAATGAGCATGTAGGAAGCCAACTAGGTGTCATATAACAAGAAAACCAAGAAACAAAATATATATATTTTTTAATAATTTTATAATATATATTTTTACTGTATATATTTTATTTAACAAATATTTTTACAGAATTTTACACCACCCGAGATTTGAAAATTAAATCAAAATGACTGTTGAAATGGTATAAACTTCATCTATAATGAACTTTATATAAAATGAATCTCACTGAGAGGTGTCGATGTCTCCATCAGTCTTGGTGCTGAGCTGTTCGAGGCACTTAATAAAGACCTAAAACAAGCAGAGACATACAAATTCTTTTTATACAGCATGATTATATTTACAAATCCCAACATACACAAAAAACAGCACACAGTACCTTCATGATAGAAACACACCGTTCACAAGCTTTGTCCTGAATCACATCCAGATTAAAGATCTGAGGACAAAAAAAAAAAAAAACACAAATATTACTGATTACTCTCCATATAATCTGCAGTGGAAGGGCAGAGGATGAGTGTTGTGTGAATATTTGTACATTGATCTCTCCGGGTTTACATTCCATCGGCTCCTTTAGAGACTGCAGCATCTGAACCATACACTGCTCAAACTGGGCCGGCTGAAACAGACACACCATTTATCCTTTGGTTTTTGATTTTCACGTTTTTAGAATGAAATAAACTAGATAAAATATTAAAAAAGTATAAAACATGTACCAGTGATGCGATTCCTTCGTTGTCCACAACCCAGTCTTCTTTTTCTGCAAGTCTCTTTACGTCTAAAAAAAAAACCCACAAAGTTTAATATTAAATAATAATTAATATTAAATAATCAATCCCATTAAATCAAAACATTTAAACTCTTCTCACATTCTCCCAACATCAGTATTAAGGAAACTATTTTAACTCTGAAAGCTAGTCTTTTGAAAAAGTAGTTGACTATTAGTTACAACATTAGTTACAAATTTACAGCAAAATACAACTATTAAACATCCTAATTTATATAAAAAAAGTCCAAATCCTAGTGATAGACAGCAGAATTCACAGCAGTATTTTGCTAAAAAAAGAAGATGCAGGGATTTCTGCAATTTTGTGAGGTTTAGAAAATATCCGAACAACTGTTTGGCTACTAAAAATGTAGTTTATACTGCTCCAGATGTTGACTAGCTAGTAGTGTTCGTCAATATATCTACGGTTAATTCTGTGAATAAAAGTATAGTTCACTAGAGCAGTTTTGCTGCAACCCTAAAATAACTAATGAGCTGTTTATACTGAACTTGAATGAAAACAGGTTTAGTTGTGAGCTCTAGAGCTCCCTCTGTTGTTTTCATCTGGAGCAATCAACATTAGTGCCAGACTGATATTTCAGCCAGTCCATCTTGAGATGATCAGTGTTGACCAACAACCTTATCTGCAAGTCATTTTAATCAAATATTCTGTAGAACAGCTCAGAAATCTCATTTGCCATTGTTTGCCTGAAATGAAACCAAGACATTCACAAAAGCTCAGTGAATAGTTTTACCCTCTTCAGTGTGCTGTAATGTGGTCAGCAGGCAATGCACACGCAGGTCCTGCAGTAAATCCTGAATCACCTGCAGCAGGTCATTAGGAATCTCTAAAGCTGACAGAGCTTCATGACTTAACCTAAGAGAGAAAATCAAATCAGCTTTATTAGAAAATAAAGGAAAGGATGAATACTACTATAATACTACTTAGTATTATTAATACTATAATAATACTACTTAGTAGGATGAATACCTACTAAGGATTGACCAAAATTTCTGCCACTCAAAGTGAAAAAAAAAACAAAAAACAGTACTTTAACATTTAATAACAGAATCAATGACAAAAAACCGCAGCCCGCATATGCAATGATCCCGGTTTAGCTGGATCTAATGTAAATGTAAATGATCAAGATGACTGAATTGGAAAAAAAAAGTTGTTTTACAATTCAATTTACATGAAACAGATGAACGCAGCAGCACAACAAACTTGCTTAAAGTTTACCCAAAATTGGCTTTGTTTTGTGCAAATAGAAATATATTTTTAAAAATGTTGGTAATCAAACACTTTAGGCCACCATTGACATTCACAGTATGCACAAAAAAAACAACAGAGACTTCTCAAAATACTTTCTTTTGTGTTCCATAGAAGAAAGCAAGCCGTGCAGGTTTGGAACGACCTGATGGTAAGTAAATGATGACAGAATTTTCATTTCTGGGTGAACTATCCCTTTAAGTCTACAGAAGAGTATGCAATTAGCAAACTAGTTTTTGGCCATGAATTTTCATTTTGACCGATTACTAATTGCTACATTTTTACTACAAAGTCACTCACATACCTGACGGTGTGGATGACCTGAGTGAGCCAGGCTCCACCGAGAGGGGTTTTTGTGTCCCAGCCTCCACACTGCCTCAGCTGCAGCTCAGTAAGAGAGGAGGGTAACAGAGCCCCTCGAACCAACTGCACCAAACGACGCGTCACCTCCTCAATCATGCCCTAAACACAATCAAATGTGCCAAACCCATTATGCAAAGTTACCAAATCAACACTCAAATAAAAGCTGAGTAATATATAAACATTTAAATGGCACAAAAGGCAATATTTATATCAACTTTGTAATGATATACTTATGCTTCTACTTTCAAGACAACAGGCTGAGTAAATATAAATATAGTGATTTTCGACATAGCTACTTATGTTAATTCATGCTTATTCCGTGCTATAACTAAGACCTTGGTTCATCAAAATGAAAATGAACGGGAAATGTATATTTTTATATTGTCAATCCAGCCCTAGCGCCCACGCAGCTGACATGTTCACCTGTTATGTACATGAAACAGACACTGACACAGTCCAAATGCGGTATGGAAGAAACACAGATTATACACCACAGTTTCAGCCCTCTAAACGGTCTCAGCCGAAACTGAAAATTAATTTTTGGGCCAAATATTTTCGGTTTCAGAAGTTTCGGTGCATCATTGGTCTTAAATCCTAGTGGCTCATGCGCACACTCTTAATCACAAGACTACAAGCACAAAACCATTCCAGCTGCTTTACTGACCTTAAAGTCATTCTGTCTTTGCCGGGCGTTCTTCTTTAACTTCTCCACCTGACCAGACTTCTCTCCCGTCTGTCCAAGACAACACAGTCAACATGAGTCAATGTGTATGTAATCAAAACATAATTACACTAGCCCTGGTTTCTAACACTCCTTATTAATACTCCAGTATATTTGTCTGTGTATCTACCTCACTGAAAAGGCTGCCGTTGACGTAAGAGATCCAGAGTTTCCAGAAGTTGGGCAGCTGGCTGATAACCACGTCTGAGAGCTTCTCCACAAACCGCACCTGCTGAGGGCTTTTATAGTGCCACGCTGAGAAAATATGTATGATATAATATTATGAAGACAGCTGTATTCTGCTTCTGAAATGAAACGGCTGACAATGAGTTTTCGATGAGTTTCACAACTCTTCCTAACTAGGCGCAGTTTCAAACATCATATCATGTTTGACTTAACTGAAAGTGAAATTCAGCACAAAAGCAACAAAATCACAGCAAATCAGAACATTTTCCATAATTTTATATCCAGATGTACACTACTGTATAACTGTATATAAAATTGGTAAGATTTTTTAATGTTTTTAAAAGAAGTATCTTATGCTCAACAGGCTAAAAACAGTAAAAACTATTATATTGTGAAATTGTAATACAATAACAGTATTGTATTTTAATATAATTAAAAATGTACTTTATGCGTTTGATGGCAAAGCTGAATTTTTCAGCAGCACATGATCCTTCAGAAACATTTAATCATTCAAACAATAGTGTATTGTATGCATCATTCTGTTTTTGTACTCACAGTCATCTTTAGGTGTCTGGAAGCTGCCTCCTCTCTTCACCGGAGCTGAGAGGCTGATCCTGTTCAGAGCTGAGGACCGATCCATCTCTAAACCGACACCACCCACTGACACAGAGAGACACAATGAATGTTCATCTACATATGGCAGCATTTAATAATGAATCACGTTTATAAAAGTGAAGGGTTTCGTTTAACCCGTCACATGGCTGATATATCAGTCAGTTAAGAGTGACAATTCGGGCTCGAATTAAAAGAAACATTTCTGGTCTGATGTTGATGAAGGCAAATTTGAGCCTTGCTTATGAGGAAACACTGGTCTAGATGATGCTACACTATTATTTTTTTTTCTTTCTTTCTTTCACTGTGATTTGAGTGCAAATCATGAGGCGAAATGCAAATTGACTTTCAAAATACTTATCATAGGACAATCGCCCTGTGGTAAGGTTCAAATCTACAACCTTTTGGTTACCAGCAAAGACAAACTGGAACGTATGGTGCAGTAGCTCTTCTCTGACAGTAGATGGCAATAAAGGTCTTTCTGGGGCTCTTCCTGAGTCTTGATTAAATTGCTGATATAGTCTGAAACACTCAGTATGTCCAGATAGTGTACACATGTCATGTTTCTCTCTCACAGATAAAGATGTATACCATTCAGCCACTTGGACATTTACTCGCTTTCTTTTGATAAAAAATGAGTGCTGGTGTTGATCCAGGTGTCCAATCATCTCCTGTGTTTATCTATGCTCCTCTCTCTTCTTGTATTCCCCGATGTCTGTCTCTCTCTACAGCAAACCCCCCCTCAACTCTGCCACACTATAGAGCTCTGTGGACTTCCTGTTCTCTATAGGGTCATGACCAGACCACACACGGGCTGCTCTCTATCTAAACACACACACACACACAGGGAAGAACACACACACTGCTTTCACTCTTCGGAGATGTAGAGGAACCATCAATTTATTTCAGACTAGCTGCGTGTGTGTGTACCTTTCTGCTCTGTGATAAAATCTTCTTTACAGTTTTGCATCAGCTGCAGGATCCACTTGTGTTGAGCGACTATACATTTCCATGCCGGGTCACCTGGAGCATGTAGATCTGACAGATATCTTGAGTAAAAGAGAGAAAATCATTAGATCAATATAATTGTGTCCTTTTCAGGACCCCCTTAAACCCCTCACACAACGACAAGTCATGTAAGTTAGGGAATGTAATTACTTAAAATAAATTATTAAGTATAAAATATTTACACTACCGTTCAAAGGCTTAGGGTCAGTAGGAATTAGAATACTTTTATTCTTTTTATAGAAATTAATACTTTTATTCAGGAAGGATCAAAAAGTGACAGGAAAGACTATTTCATTTTCCATTTCAAATACGCTTTTCTTGTAAACTTTCTATTCATCAAACAATCTTGAAAAAAAAGTTTCACGGTTTCCACAAAAATATTGTAAATGTTTTCAACAGTGATAATAATAAGAAATGCTTCTTAAGAACCAAATCAGTGTATTAGAATGATTTCTGAAGGATCATGTGACACTGAAGACTGGAGTAATGATGCTGATAATTTAGCTTTGTATCACAGGAATAAATTGCATTTAAAAATATATTCAAAAACAACAACAACAACAACAATTAAATTGTAATAATATTTCTCAATATTACTGTTTTTACCTTATAAATATTTTGATCAAATAAATGCAGCCTAGGTAAGCACTTCTTTTGAAAACATTTGTTATAATAAAATTAGTGCTAGCATCCAAAATAAAAGTGTTTGTTTACATAATATATGTATGTGTGCTGTGTATATTTATTATGTATTATTCAGAAAAATATATTATGTTGATATATTAAATATATTTATTTATAATATAAATTATATGAATATAAATAGACATGTAAATACATGTAAATATTCTCAATATATATACTGTATGTGTGTGTATTTATATATACTTAATAAATATACACAGAACACAAACATATATTATGCAAACAAAAACTTTTATTTTGTATGCGATTAATCGTTTGACAGTACTAAATAAAATCAATATTTATAATTAAAATTAAAATTTTTGAGTTTACTTTTTCCACACAGTATGGGTCTTTTTACTTGATTTTTTATTTATTTTTTCATATTTGAGGGTCCCTGGCATCAAAAAGCATCAAAATCCCTGTCACAGGTGATGAATAAAGTGAGTCTGCACTCATAATTTAAGTTTTTTTTTTTTTTTTTTGCGTCACTGTTATTTCAATTCTCTTAGAAACGCAATTGCAGTTATTCTTTGCAAGTTGCTTGTCACACACCTGATATAACGTTTCTGATCATGTAGAGTGGATGGGGTCTCCAGAAGTTTATCCAAAAGCAGTTTCCTCAGGGCTTCTATACGCGTCTCCACCTCCGAATACACTACAAACACATATGCAGGCAATCTTTCTTAACATTTACACAGCACTCCAGCTAATGTGAATGTATATAAGAGGATGCGTGTCACATTAACATATGTTATCAGCCATTATCAATGAAGATCAGATCACCTTTCTTAAAGACTGGGACCTCTGTGTTCCCAAACAGAGATTTGGCTTTCTCATAATCATTGATAACAACGTCATAATCGCCCTGGAAAGAAAACATACACATATGCACAGTCAGTTTAACATTCAGAGATCATTTTTATATATCATAGGGTGTATATACTAGCGTTCAAAAGTTTGGTGATGGTAAGATTTTGCAATGTTTTTAAAAGAAGTCACTTCTGCTGCAGTTTTCTGATCAAAAATACTTTATAATACTTGTGAAATATGTGACCCTGGACCACAAAACTGGACCAATTTTTTGAAATTGAGATTTATACATAATCTGAAAGATTTTCCATTGATGTATGGTTTGTTAGAATAGGACCATATCTGGCTGAGATACAACTATTTGAAAATCTGAAATCTGAGGGTGCAAAAAAATCAAAATATTGAGAAAATCGCCTTTAAAGTTGTCCAAATGAAGTTCTTAGCAATGCACATTACTAATCAAAAATTAAGTTTTGATATATTTATGGTAGGAAATGTACAAAATATCTTCATGGAACACGATTTTTACTTAATATCCTAATGATTTTTGGCATAAAATAAAAATTTTATAATGATAATGTTGACCCATACAATGTATTTTTGGCTATTGCTACAAATATACCTGTGCTACTTATGACTGGTTTTGTGCTCCAGGGTCACATATTGCGATAATACTATTACAATTTTAAATAACTGTTTTGTATTTTAATATATTTTAAAATGTAATTTATTATTATATTCAGCAGCCATTACTCCAGTCGTCAAGAGTCAAATTCTTCAGAAATCATTCTAATATGCTGAATTTGGTATTCAAGAAACCAACCTTTTTGATTATTATTAATATTGAAAACAGTTGTGATGCTTAATATTTTTGTGGAAACTGTGATTCATAAATTGTGATTCAAAGTTTCAAAGGAACAGCGTTTATTACAAATGTTTTTTTTTTGCAACAATGTAAAAGTCTTTACTGTCACTTTTGATCAATTTAATGTGTCCTTACTGAAAAAATATATGAATTAAATAAATATCCCTAATATCCATGTACCCAAACTGTTGAAAGGTAATGTGTAGGAGAAAGCATTAGAGAAAAAAAGGTGTGTGTATATGCATGGAGGATGCCACCTTCTGGATGTTGCGTTCTATGTTGAGTGGCAGGTTAAATAGAAATTTGAATCTCTGGAGGACATTGAGAGCGTTGCGTGTGGAGTCGGCCTTGTCCTTTCTGCCCAACACTTCTTGAAACAGGGTGTCAGCAGTTTCACTTGCTCCTGAGAGGAATGAGCAAATGGAAAGAGATGAGAAAAGGGTGTAGAAGGACAACAGCTGATAAAAAGTGGTTTAATCATTCTCGCCCGGTTTGAAATAAATTCAAGATCTCTTGTGCTCCCTCTTCTTGGGTGGTCAGAGCTATTCTGGATTCCCTTGGTCAGATTTAATAAGAACCAGCCCCCTGACCACTCTAAAAGTCTGACCAGCCTTTTTCCACCATTGAGTCTCTTTGTGATTGGCTGAGAGTCAAAGGCAGTAAATGGCTTTGGAAGAACATACATCTAAATGTACTTGTAAAGATGGGTGGTGAGGAGGATGAGGAGGAGTTGGGCGATGAAAGCATGTCAGTGTGTGACTGGTTTATTTGTGCGGCGCGCAGGAAACGAGCGTGTTTATTGACCTACCGTCACGTGAGAGAATTGACATGGAGATATGACTGGGATATGAGTGGACTCGAACACACGCAGACGCACTCACAGAAACACACCGAGGTCTGTGTGAAATGTGTGGCTTTGATGGTCTAAAGAGAATGCATATGCAAGTCTGATCCTAAATTTAGCTGCTTTGTGTAATCGTGTGTGATTTTGAGCATGTGTTTGGTTTTACGTCTTACTGTTAAGGACGTTCTCTAGTCGCTGGGTCATAGAGCCCTCCACCTTCTCAGTGCCGTCCGATTCAAGCTTCTGATGGATAGCTAGACATAAAAAGTGGGAGAGAAAAAAAATGTATGTTTGAGAGCATTTGCACTACCGTTCAAAAGTCAGTTACTTTTTTTTTTTTTTTTAAGAAATTAATACCTGTATTCAACAAGGACGCAAATAATTAATCAAAGTGACAGTAAAGACATTTATGATGTAACAAAAGATTTATTTTTCAAATAAATGCTGTTCTTTTGAACTTTATATTACACTGTCTTAACAAACACTGGGTATATGCAGTTTTTGAAACCAAATTTTTAAGACATTTTCATACTGTATGTCCATACAGAACAAACCTATACAATCTCAAAATAAATCAAGTAATTCAATTAATTAAACTTGTTTAAACAGGCCACATACATTCAATAAAGACTTAATACTGCTTAATACATCATTCATTCATATATAATTTAGAGGTCAACTAATATTAAATTTTGCTGATATAATAATAGTGCATTAACAAGAAATCTGTTTATTGAATGTGTTAAACAATGTTCTTAGTTTTTCCTTACTGTAACAGGGTGGCCCAAAGAGAATCTACAAGAGTTTATGTTGAATAAAGTGCTGAATACAGCTTATTGTGTAACCAAATTACAAATAATAACAATAATAAAGATTTTGTGAATAATACAGGAGTTTTAATTCTAAACAATCCCAAAATATTTTGAATTGTCTATACATTACTACTCCAAACTAGTCTACAAATAAAATAAGAACTCTTGCAACCACCAACAACATTTTACAATATAAACCCCATAACGTAAACACTGTCATAATTCATCAACAGTAGATTATACATAATCACTTGGCATAAATGTGCGGTTTTCACTGATTGCGAACTGCTCTGAAACCACAAGTCTGTAGAACATACAACAGAGCAGTGTTTTAACTTTGAATGTGTAGCGCTCATAGGGATGTAACGATTACCGGTTTGACGTTAAATCATGATAAAATTCCCCACGGTTAGTATTACTGTTTCATCTTTTAAAACCGTAATAGATTACCGCGATTTGAGCAACTCACGATAAATAAATACTGTCCAGCTTAAAGCACAGTTTTAAGTAACAGTCTCACGTGCGCACAGCACAGAGTGAAAACAGGGCAAAAAAGCTGGGAGGTTTTAAAAGAGTGCTAAGGGAATTATACAAATGAATGTATGAATGAATGAATTATGAATGTACCTCTGAAGGTTCTGACTGTCTTCAGAAACGATTCGATGGCATTTTGTTTTCATCTTCGCTCCATGTAATACCTAAAGGAAGTGTTCTTAATCGCAATACTGCTTTGTCCACGGAGGTTACGGGAAACAGCTCTAATTCAGCTTTTCCAGAAGGAATTTGCATGCCCTGCTGTAAATTTTGACCGGTTGATGAAAAACAAGCTTATGTGGATTCTACACATTTAAACAATTCAGATAAGTTATCTAGAATTATTTATGGAGCAGATAAAATACATATAATCATTTATTAATCAATTATCATTTTGACATATCTTTTCTTTATGTAAAGGCTGAAATGTGAGGTTTACCTTTTTATTAAACTTTTTCAAAGCTTTATTTGAACATTTACATTAGATATTTCAACATGCTATTAAACTGTTGTCAGTCAAGTTGTCATTTAAAATCCAAACATCATTGGTAATGTTATTGTTTTAGTGATTATGCAAACAAAAAGTCATTTTATTTGTTGTTTGTTGATTTTTAAATATAAAACTTGAAGTGATCTATGTGTCGGTACTTTTTTAACATCTCCAGCACATTTTAACATAACCGTGATAATTTTGTTCACTATAATCGTGATAAGAAATTTTCATACCGTTACATCCCTAAGCACTCACATTTATTTAATTTAATCACAGCCTTTTGAAGTTTAATAATCACATTAGTAATCACAAATTTAAGATCTCCTAAATGATAATTACGACTTGTGTTATACCATTTAAGACATTTTGACCTTAAATTTGATCAAACTGAATTTGAGACATTTTAAGACTTTTTAAGGGGATGCAAACAGATCATATGTATATATATTATAGAGTGCCTTTAAATTGGAAGATAAACCTTTGCACAAAAACCTAAATGAAGTCTATTTTCTCTCCACATCTGGATTTGGGAGACTTCTGTACACAATGACGTCAGGGCTAACCTCCGGCTCCCCCCCGGGGTCCGGAATGCTGTGTGGTACGCTTCCTCTGTCTCTGAGGTATGTTTTGACTTCTGCCTGGTAAGTTTTGGGAGTCTTCTCTGGGAATCAGTGCAGCTTCCGTTTCCTGCGCTCTCGTTTCCTCTCAGCACAATGACAACCTTATTACAACCTCATCTAAACATTATGACAACCACGCCTTGTTATCCGTCCCCATGTCTGTCAATCACATGGACACGCAGTGCTAAGAATAGTTCTTCTGTTTGACTCGAGACAAGTGACCCGAGACAAGTCCTACACACACAGACAGATTTGAAAATAGAATCTGCCTGGTGACATTGACCTCTGATGAGAGCAGTCTGAGTAGAGACACATACACCTGTGTACAATGACACGAGAAATGTGGGGGGAAAAAGGCCCATGCACCTAATTTGGTTAAACGGTAGATCTAGCATTCATGTTGTCTAAATAGGCTGTACTTTAGGCCTATGTCTTAATACAGGCACCAACCCAGTGAGTTGTCAAAAAGGTCTAAATCCAGGCAGTGCAACAAGAAATTAAGCTTAAGTTACAGTATTCAGTGAAGGTCAAAATGACTTTCATTGTGGAAAAAAAATTATCGAAATCACAAACGTTTCTATCAGAACAAGATTATATTCCTCAGAGGGCTTCCAAGATAACAGAAAAACAGTGTGTAATTTAAACCATAATTTCACTCTGAAATTTTGGTAGTCTCAATGGTTTCTGGCAACTGAGCTTTGCAATTCTTTACCAGAAGTCCACAAAATGTGTCCAAAATGTCCAAAAAACGATATTGTATTATGATCAATTGCCATTTTTTCCCCCAGTCTTTAATTCCAATCAACTCAAAAAGGGACTCAAAGGAGATCCTATGCTTCCCACTGGTCATTACAACATTGTATTTACGGGATGAGTAATTTTAACACAATGATTCCAACATGACCTAAAGGCAACAAAATCCTCATGGACACAATCCAGTCCCACCCTATATTACTTCCCACACACTGTTCTGTTTCCCTCAAAACTGCTTCCGTTTCCTTCAGTCAAATGCAAGAATGCCATTTCATGTTGTCTTTACTTACGGCTGTGTTTATGTGTTTTAATGTGTACACACTAAGCACACGTACCTGCAAGAGCATCCTGAGCCTCAAAGAAAGTGCTGAGACCTCCTTTCACATAGGCCAGACTGCCCTCATTCTTCTTACTGGCCTGTTTCTTAAGATTTCCCACAGTCACACGCAGTTGCTCAAAGCTACAACAGCAACAAACATAACACCACATCACACACAAATCTATTTTGGCAGATTCACAAATGGTATCTAGACCGACCTGGTTGAAGAATGGTTCTCCATGAGATACCAGGTGGCAGAGAAATTTTCGCTGGTGAAGTCTCCACTCATCCCAGGGAACATGTTCTCCAGATCCTTCAGAGGAACCTTCCCTCTGAAAAACAAAAGACATAGTTAGACACCCACACAGCTGATCTATAAAGACCCATCATGAAAACATCACAGATCATAGACCATCTGCTCTACCACACTACAGACCACAGAGAAAACCAGATCTGTCCACATATAAACAGCATTGCATACACCTACCCACTGGGTCTTTTGATGCGTCACAGAATAGACTGATGAAATACATATGACCCATATACCGTTGGGTACAGTAAGATTTATTTTTTGAAAGAAATACAAAAATTGGCATATTAGAAAGATTTCTGAATGATCATGTGACACTGAAGACTGGAGTAATCACTGCTGCAAATTATACTCAGACTTGATGAGTATAAGATAATGGTTTTAAAAAACATTACAAAATCTTTTCACCCCAAACTTCTGAACAGTAGTGTATCTCATTTGACTGAATATATAGACACAAATAAGTAAATGGTTAGAGGTGCTGCAGAGGTCAGGGAAAGGAAGAGTTTCACTTCCTATCTAAGGAAATGGTGTACCAATGACATCACCCAGGTAGAAGACATACACACAATGGGCTGAACCTCCTTCCTTATAAACACAGCAGTCTACTTCTATAAACACAGGGCAGTGCTTTTTGGGTGACGTGTGTAAGGGAATGCATTTGTTTTGGTCTATGTGAGTGTGTGTTTTAAAAAGACAGTCAGAAATGAAGCACATGTGTGTAATTTGAGTACAGCAATGCGTGTGCTTAGTTGTAGGTGTAAATTTATTACTTTGTAAGTTCATAAGAGGACAACACAAACTCAATTGTGAATGTTTCGTTACTTGTCTATTTCGATGCCCAAAGGGTTGGCCGGCCTCAGCGAGAGAGGAGAGATTCCTTTGTTGCGATCGGTCCTCATGTCATAGTAATTCAACTCATCAACCCAGACCGCAGACTGATCCAGAATGCCTAAACACAAAAAACATAAAATCTTAAAATCCATTGCAGTCTTCAAAGAGCATATGTGTGCATTTAAGGAGTGTGTAATCAATCAAACCGAAATTGTGATTTTGCCTATAAAAGACATTGAGAGTGTTTACATGCACAATAATATGCTGAGAATGCAAAAAAAGCACATTTACAGAGATCCGAAATGATCAGAAATTTTCTTTTCTTTTCACATCAAAACATAAACTGACTTAAGTTGGTATAAAACAATGTGTGGCAATCGTTTTTTGATTAGGCAGATCTTGATTAAGCAGAAGGTGTTTACGTGACCTTACAACTTGTCAGGGTTAAGCATAATTGGTGTAGGATTGAGCATTGTAAACATGCACACAGAGTGTGTATACGTGAGTTTGTGTGTGTGGCTCACCGATCCTCTCAGGTTTGAGCAGTTTGAAGGAGACCGTGGACGTCCCTCGACCTCCGCTCTTGGTGGTGACGATGATCTCGCCCTTGTCATCTTTAGCAGGACCCACTCGACACACTATCTTACTAGCAGACATCCATTCTGCTGTCAGCAAACAGTTATGACCACAGATAGACAGACCTGACAGACAAAGACCAAGAGAAAAGGAAATCAAATGGCCAAATTAGCTTCAGCTCAGGTCCTTAATGGTATCTTACTCTGAGTGCTGATCTAATTTGATGTGACCATCCAGGCCCATTAAAAAAAACTAATTATTATATTGTAGATCAGGTCTGTGAACATCGAACTGTACTGTGTTTTTTTTTCTTTTGTTTGTTTTTGCTGCTTAATTACAAAAAAGATATGTGTTTAATATAGCTAACAATAACAAAAATACAGATTTTTGCTTAGCTTTTAGTTTCACCTCGTTTTACAGATTCACTGAGTTGCAAACTCATAATAAAATATTATGCAGCATCTATTTAAACCATGCCATTTATTTTTCTCCAGATTTCATAGACTGATCATTTCTGTATGAAGACATTCATTTTAACAGTTGCATGCTTTTTTTTCACTTTGCTAAATTAGAAGAAAATGTCTGAATTTAAGTGTTCAGATGTTTGGGGTCGATAAGATTTTTAAATGTTTTGTAAGAAGTCTCACAATGACTGCATTTATTTAATCAAACATTTTTGAAATATTATTTACAAAATTTAAAAAGGTTTTATTATGATTATTATCACCATTACTTATTATTATCAATGTTGAAAACCATTCTGCAGCTTAATATTTTTAGGGAAACCATGATTTTTTTTTTCAGGATGTTTTGATAAATAGAATATTTAAAATAACATACAATTTTTGCAACATGTCTTAACTGTCACTTACAATCAGTTTCACCCTTGCTGAATAAAAACATTAATTTCTAAAAACAAAAAGCTTAATGACCCCAAACCTTTGAACGCTAGTGTATGTTTGTTCAAATGTGCATGTGTATTACCTATGAGGTCATTGTGTCCAGTGCCCAGGTTCTCTCCACGAATAGTGACTTTGGTCCACGGCGCGCCCTCATTGGGTGAGATGCCAGTGACCAAAGGAGGCTGGCGTGCACGAGACATCCTTCACACACCTAGGTGAGACACAGGTAAACAGTGTTTTGTTTAGGCTCCAGAGACAGTCTCATCACTGCTAAAGGTAACACATTAAAACATTCAGCATGTTCAGTGCATTTAAAGACTGTTAGACATGAACAAATAAATCTACCCATCCGGCTCACACAGAGCGAACGTGTTACTGTTTGGAGATGCAACATTATATACAATATAACTAGTAGCTCAGCAATCAAGGCATTTTTTCCTGTAGCTTTTGCACTGTCACAGATGCTCTCTCTCTTATACAAACACCCACACGGAGCACATGTCAGTCTCAAGGGCGGTTTGCGTGCAAGACCCCATGACTGACTCTGTGTGGTCTGGGAGGGTGTGTTTCTGCATATGTGTGGTCTCTGGAGGGGGACAGGGTGATGGTTGAGTTCTACAGCAAGACCTCAAAGTCCACAGTGCAGATTCAGAAGACGTATTGCCACGTCTAGCAGTAAAATAAACTGGGTGCCTGACATGTATATTCACTGCAGAAATCTTATGGTGATGCCAATATTTTGGGAAATACTGAAATTGTCTTTATAGATTATATAGGTCAATGGTGCCCTGTTTTGTTTTTGTCTGGATGTCCATTAAATACAATTCATGCATACATGCACAAGCATGTTTTAATTCGAAACTCAAAAGTGTCCCAGCAATGTCAGGGTGACAACGATAATTTTAAAAATAAATTAAGAAAATGGGAGAAATATAATCTATTAAGTAGCTTGGGATTTTTTTATCATTATTTTTTATTATTATTTGACAAACCAAAAATCAGTGGGAAAGAAAGAATGAAAGAAAGAAGGGGTGGGGCAAAACAAATCACAAAACAAAACCACTTCAAAAAATGTCTACTGCGCAGTTACAGCAAAATCAAATGGAAATGAATATGGTTAAGTCAAACACACACACACACACACACTTCTGTGTGGCAACATTTGGGAATGATTGACTGCTTAGATGATTGACATTTAAGAGTCTCTATGGAATAAGCAGCTCGTCTCAGACAAATTACTAGCACCGTCCTATCAACACTCAGCCCCCTTCATAAACACAGTGACCCCCCTCCTACAGAACACACTCTCTCAGCAGGAGAAATTAACACTCCACATGTAATAGCAGGAGCTTGAACAAACTATTTAACACCAGAGCATCATACTGCTGACTGCATATACTTTTTCGACATTTACAAAATGACTACTTAGAGCTTTTATTAGACACAATAGTACACATTTTAAATATAGGCCATGATATAAATAATTATTGTCTTATTTTATCAGCAAGAATTTATTAATTTCTGCAAGTCTGTGTTTGCAAGACATATGAAATAGATTTGCAGTGTTTTACTGCAGCAGGGAGTATAATCTCTAAACACCAAATAGAAAACATGCATTCAATAATCAACACATAAAAAAGGATAATTAACTATTATTAATAATATAGCTATAATCTGATTTCAATTTACATTATAATAATTTCAGCTATAATAATACATCAAAAGAAAACTGAGCTCTTGCAAAGCATGATGGGCCCTGGGTTGCATTTTAAGTTGCTGCTATTATTTAACACTGACAATCATGGAAAAACACATAACTGAAGATGAGACGGAAGAAAAGCACAAACAGAACATGTCTGAATGCTCATTTTGTTTTAAGCCCCCAAAACAAAACAAGATGTTAGATCTCTCATAGAAATGAAATCAAAACAAATGAAACTGATTGCACACAAGTATATCTAGTTATCAGGCTCTAGTCAAGTCAAATTTGATTTATAAACTATTACTTTGCTAAAATGATTATTCATGCAAACTGGATTAAGGATTTATAATATTGTAGCTGTATGATGAGTTTGTAATTACTTACAATATAATGAACCGACGGTGAGTGTTAACAAGCAGTTTATCCTCTTTAATTAGAACAAACATGAATATTTACAAAGATAAAATACATAACTCATTGAAGATAAATACAAACTAATTTACATACACGATGGCGAGGTTGTCAAACAAAACATGGACATAAAAAGCAGCTCTGACATATGACAATAGCTTGCTGGCTAATGCTAAAAACAATCTGACAGAAATGACAAGCCGACGACAACGAATTTATTGAGACGATAGCTTTTCCGCATAATAAGAACCCTGCTTTATTTTCCGAAAAGCAAGGTAGAATAAAACATTGCGATTACTTACAGTGGTAAAGGCAGTGAAGAGAATCTCTATACAACATTTCTTTCCTCTGAAAAACAGTTCCGGTTTAGAAACTGCGGCCCCGCGCACACGACGAATCACATGACAGTTCATGCATTATGCATCATATTGAGCCACAGAGTGTAGTTGTGCAAACTGTAATTTTAACATATAGGCTATGCCATTATTCTTTATTTTATAAATGTGTAAATGCCTACAAATGACAGTGCAGTGAAAAAGAAGAGACTGATTATTTGAACTGTCATAAAATATGTAGTAAGTTACCTTGCACAACCGAATCTATTAGATGCGTCGAATACATTTAAAGTTCAAAATAAAACACAAGAACGAAAAATCCTACACACCACTCGAACTTGCTTGGTAACTAGCTAAATAAATTGAATATACAACGTTTCGTAGCTGTCTTTTGACCGAAACGTTGCGTATTAAAGTTATTTAGCATTTTTATTTAATCATCATTAAATATGAATGAAACCTATATAGCCTACAATGAAATGAAATACAATTAAATTTTATATACAAATGGTAATATGCACAATAATGATGTAAACAAGGGATAGATAGATCTATCTAAAATAAATATCTAGTTTTTTGAATGAACAATTCAAATTCAAAGAATTTTTTGTTTATAATTTGAAAGTTATTAATCATTTCATAAAACAGGCCTATATAACATCATGCTCCAGATTTTATTTTGAGTTTCATGCTATGATGCAGCACTCAATTTAACTAATTGTATTTCAATTACACAAAGTTAAACATCAAAGTCGTCCTGTGAGGTCACATGTAGATTATGAACCATTTTCACAATGCATATGGCGTTACTTCCACTTGTTCTGGGAAAGCGCCGCACCATAACACCACACAACACAGACCACCCAAGCACCGTGCGCCATTATGCCCTCTCTTATCTCCTTAAATAGTGCACGGCAAAGATACTTTCCCTCAGATAAGGCCTTTTGGGCTCTTGGGAACGTCAATTTTTCAATCATTCTGAACTAATCTGAGGAATCAAATCCAATCTGACTTTCTGCGGCCTCAGTGTTGCGTGTGACGGCACCACAGCACAGGGGATGTTCAACAGTGTAAACACGTCATGAAGCCTCGGTTATTTTCTCAAGAGGGCCACCGCCAAAGATCCATCCAGCTAATTAACAGAGAAAATGTTAGTAAAATAAGATAACTCACTTAAGATCTTCACTGTTTGTTTGTTCAGCTTACGCACTGCTGATGATGGCTCCACATTCCTGATATGAAAGTGGCAATTACTACACCATGGGTCACAACACAGCAATAAGAATCAAAATGACCAAAAACAACAGTATGGTACAGAGCGAGAGTGAAACAGGGAAATAATACAGAATGAGTAACAGGGAAAGATATTTTTGGCAAGGTTATGAATTGGCGCTGAGTCATGGTAATTTCTGGTTAAAAGTTTTTTTTTTTTTTTATTCACTTTTATACTCTGATGGCACTGAGTACACACTCAGTGGGGGCAGAAGAATTAAATTTCTCTGCATTATTGTTCTGCTTGAATGTGTTCGTCAGTGTGTTCCCATGTGAGCCAGCACAGGAAATACTGTGAATAGGCTTCCTATTACACACACACCTAAACATTACTCTCACAGAGCACTGTTACTGTAATTACATTATCTTGAGCTCTTGACGTCTTCATGAACTGCATAGTACAGTGAATTGAATAAGTTGCATTGATACTGCACACAAGAAGATAAGATCATATAGCACTAAAACAGTTTTAAAATCATTTAACAGGGATTTTTGTAGGACTTCCAGGTCTCTTTCTGGTCAAGCCAACAGGCAATTCAAAAGTTTGGTTATGCATTTGAATAGTTTACTATTTTTCTTCAGTTATTCGTAATCTATATGTATTAGTGAATTGTATTTTATTTGCAAAGGTTATTTATTTGTTCTACATAATTTGACTTAATTTGACTAATAGAATACTACACCAGCAAGAGACATTTGTGGTTTATTGCTATATTGTATATTATTTGTTTCCTATTTTTGACATTGTGTTAACACCCACTAATCACTGAACACCTATGGTAATATTTTTTACACTTTTTTTTTATTATTGTATGTTATGTCAATATTGTTTCCATTAAAATAGATAGCAATTAAGTGAATTAAAGTAAAAAATAAAATAAAAGCATGAAGATATTAAAAGTGGCACATATTAACATAATGTATAAAATAATGACATTTCTGGGTAGCAATGAAAAAGTAGAAATAAAATGTTCTATGTAGAACTGAAATATCTTGTCCATTTATAAGTATTAAATGAAATTGTATGTGCCAAACTTGACCAGTTGGGGGCGCTACAAAAGCAGAGATTGCTGAGCAGTTATTCTAAATCATACGCATGCCATATGTGCGTACTGCGTACAGTCATAAAATCTAGGCTACTGCTTTTCACAAGACGTGAAAAGAATTCTCTTAAAATGCATAAAATATGAGGTTTCTGTCTGACAGCGAAATATCACACGGAAATGTAATATACATTGAAGACTTATTTACAAGGTTATATACAGTTCTATATTTACACAAGCAGAGCTAACCTGTTTACAGTCGCTGTACTGAATTTATGAGCTAGAGGAAGTTTAGCGTAAATAGGGTGTTTGAATTTGGCAGGACATTCATCTAAATGTATAATGTATAAGTGTGTGCGTGAGTAATGAACTAAGCATTAAAAAAAAAGAAATAGAGGCTCATTTCCACAATGTTGATAAAAGGGGTACCTGACAGAGGAAACTACGTGTGTGAGAGAAAAATACACTGGGGTCAGTTTTAACGGGCTTTTGATCCTCTTGGAAAGGGTGGATGAAAGACATCCTGTGCTGCAGAGAAAGAGAAGAGGAGGGGTCACCATTCACCTACTGCTTTAACAAACTCTCTCCTTTATTTCAACCTCTCTCATGTAACTTCTGTATAAGCTGTATAAGCTGCACATACTGTACTTTCTGTTAGAATATACAGTATATAGAAATTATATATAACTATACTTTATTGCAATAGTATTATTCACTAAATAATAAAAATTATAATCTAAACAAACTGTTGTTTATAATCTAAACTATATCAGCTATTGTTTACATGGCTTAATATATTATTACTGACATTTTTTTTAACACTTTAGTAGGGACCAATTCTCTCTATTATTCACTAAATAATAAAAAATTGTAATCTAAACAAACTGTTGTTTATAATCTAAATGATACCAGCTATTGTTTACATGGCTTAATATACTATTACTGAAAAAATGGTAACAGTTTAGTATAGGGACCAATTCTTACTAGCTGCTTATTATGCCTACTATTACCATATTGGCTGTTTATTAGTACTTGTAAAGCACATATTCTGCATGACCATGTTCTACATCCCTAATCCTAGCCAATACCTAAACTTACCTTACTAACTATTAATAAGCAGCAAATTCGGAGTTTAGTGAAACAGAAGTCGTATACTGGTTTGTTAATGGGGAGAACTGATCCT